AGTAGTGGATTCCTCCGCCCCCCCCCCCGCTTGTTGAATGCCCGAAAAGCCTTGGTAATTGCCAGGAACTTGAGATGACTGATGTGAGGCGTGCTTCTGCCGAGGACCAGAAACCGTGTATCATGAGGGACTCCAGGTATGCACCCCAACCTGTCGGGCTGGTTCTGTAGTTAGCTGTCACAACCCAGCTTCCTGTGAGGGAGAACTTGGTCGGTCGGACAGAGAGTAATTGGAAGTCTGAGTACCCCTATGCAGCTGGGTTGAGTCCTGGTGACCTCAGCCAGGGCGTACAACAAACTCCTTCTTACAAGTCTGCCCTAAAAGGATACTTGCTGACTCTTAACAAAGTTCAGCAGGAAGTTTTGGATGCCAAGCGTGAGCTTTGTAGTCATAAGATCTACCTGGCTCAATTAGATAGGACTCAGTAGCTTAATATGGCCTTGCTTCCCCCTCTGGGAATAGCTAAGACAGGCTTCACTGTTCAAGAGACCAAAAGATTTTATAATTGATCTTTTTCTTGAAAAAATATAGATTTACAGAATAAGGTCAGTTTGATGAAAAAGCATAGCAATTAAGCATTTTCAGTGCTTGTTACAGTTACAATAGCTCTAAAGATCTCTAAAAGCTTCCTTAGGGTAGGCAAAAGGCTTAAAGCCCCCTTCTCCTCTTCCTTAACTCCCTTCATCTTTCCCAGTCCTTTCCCTGCATGGGGCAGCAGGCATAAAGACCTAGAAAAATCTATGGATCCATCCAAAGGGAAAAATAGGAACAAGATAGAATACTGCACATGGCAAAAGTTCCTTTTTCTATCTTCTTGGCTCCTCTTGTCTTCTTGGTCTCCCACGCTATCATCCAATCACGGCGTGATGTGATATAAGTAGTCCCCCCCTTCTCTTCTCACGAGAAACAGGTGTTGTTTTTCTCCGTCTATTGTCTTCTCCACCATAACAAGTGTCTGGTCTTCTTATCTTGTATTGGCTTGTACTGGTCTAAAGGAAAAACATTCCCACAGCCCTCTGGAATACATTCCCACCATACAAAATCATTCTTACATAGAATCAATATGGAATCAATTTTACATTGTTCACAACTACATATCCCATCTTCATTACATGATTTAATCCACAGATTCTTATCCCTGACAGAGCGGGAGTGGCCAAAGGAATTCCCTACTGTCAGATTGGGTAGTAGGTCCAACCAGGATAACTGGGTGGCCAGTTTGACCGTGACCTGCAGAACCTTGGTTGGAGGATCGAGTGCTAAAGTGAACAGGGAGAGGTACCATGCTTGGAGCAATGTCATTTTCAAATGGGCATGCTGTACCATGGTAGAGGCCATGAGGCCAAGCAGCTGGTGAACTTGAAGGGCTGGTACCCAAGCTACCCATTGCAAAGAGAGTTGCATGGACCAGACCTTTGAAATTCTGTCCAGAGGTAGTGAGGCTCAACCTGACAAAGCATCCAGAACAGCTACGATATAAGCAACTCGCTGAGTGGGACACTATGTCAACTTCTCTAAACTGAGCTTCAGAACTTGGGTCGATGGCAGAGATACTGTAAAGTTAGTACTGTATCTCGCTCGGCCTGGGTCTCAGGTGGTGCTACCAGCAGCCAGTCATCCAAGTAAGGAAATACAGTGATTCCTTGGAGACACAAATGCGTCACCACGAGGGCTAAGCACTTCATGAACACCTGTGGGGTGGCTGACAACCCAAAGGGGAGGGCTTTGAATTCATAGGTCACTCCCCCAACTGAAAATCTAAGAAACCGGCAGTTATCTGATTGAATGCTCATATGGAAATAGGCGTCCTTCAGATCTATAACTCTGAACCAGTCACCTTGCCTCAGCATCTGGATGGTGGCATCCAAAGAGACCATATGTAACCACCAGGGAATGATATACAAGTTCAAATTCCAGAGGTCAAGGATGGGACGAAGTCCCCCATCTTTCTTTGGAATTGTAAAATATCAGGAACAAAATCCGAGTGAAACATCAGGATGGTACAGACGGACAATGGCATCCTTCTGAAGAAGGGCTCATATTTAGTCTTCCAAAGGAGGAGAGGGGGCAGTAGTTTTAAGGTGGCCCATGAGAGGGGGAGTGTAAAATTCAATGACATAGCCCCTGGCTACAATAGAGAGGACCCAGTGATAGTACACCATGAGTGAAGGAAGGGGGTGAGAAGGACTGAGGGGTCTACTACTGCTGGTAAAGGAGATACATCAAAGAGTTTGCCTGGCCTCCCAGTCTGGTTGGCATGCCTGCTGACAGGGGCACTGTCTGCCAAATTGCCGAGAGGACAACGAAAGTCCTGAGGCCTCTGGTGGTCTTGGAAGGTTCTTGAAGAATAGGGCCGGCACAAGGTGCCCCTGGGGCAGTACTGCTAGCTAGAATAAGACTTGGCTGTTTTTCTAAGTTTTAAGAGGTTATCAAGAATTTCATCTGTTTTTTCATCAAACAGGCCAATGCTGTCAAATGGAAGGTCCTCAGTTCTTGCCCTTGCATCCTCCGAAATTCCCGCCAAGCTGAGCCAGGCATGGTGATGCAGGGAAACGGCTGTAGCCAGTTGTTTAGAGGCCACATCCAAATTGTGTCTGGCCACAATACATTCCTGGCAAGCCAGGCCCATAGCCTCATGATGGACATCTTCAGGTGCCACCTCCAGAATGGGTCGTGCCGAATTACATAGGTAGCAATGGTAGGCCCCTATGATGGCCGAGTAGTTTGTTACTCTCAGAATGAAGGAAGCCAAAGAATACATCTGTCATCCGATAACATCCAGCTTGCCGCCCCCTCCTTGTTGTTTGGTGTTGAAATTGACCGATTCCTAGCCGTATTTTGCGTGGCATACACCACAAAGGAGTTTGGGAGAGGATGCTTCAAAAGAAAGTCTGTATTCTCCCCATAGGTTTTATAAAGGTTCTCCACCCTTCTGGGGATCTGGTAGCATGGAGAAGGTTTAGGCCAAGACTCTCTCGTAAGATCTGATAACGATGGAATAAAACCAAGTCGAAGAGGCAGGGTCTGGTCCTAGGCTATATCCTCATATAGTTTGTCCACTTTCTTTGCTGTAGGTTGCTCCACAGGCAGGTCCAACATCTTCGCGAAGAATAAGCTGGGAGTAAGAAGTATAGTCCTCAGATGGAGAGGTAGGATGATTCCCCGCAACATCAGAACCAGGCGTGGGAACACTGGAGTCTTCCTCCCCGCCTGAGCCCAGTGAATCAAAGTCTAACGGCTTATGATTGATAAATGGGGAATAATCTCCCTGAGTGGGTGCTGCATGGTAGGTGATGGTATTGACTCAGGCTATCAGTCTACCTACATCTCCTCTAGAAGGGCACTGGGCTGGAAACTGAAGCCGCTCTGGAGCGGCCTGCGCACTATCATGGTCTGATACCGGACGATAAGCTCGCTTAACATCAACCACAGGAACATAATCCAGAAGCAGATGCCTCTTACGGGGCTGTGGCGGCAGAGGATAGAAATCACCCTCAGTACCTGTAGTTCAATCTTCAAAACACTGTCGAGGGACAGAAGGCGACGGTGAGGGTGAATAGGGATGGTACAGTAGACCCTCGATTTACAGACGGCTTGACTTACAGACTTTTTGAGTTACAGACTTCTCTGGCCGCAAAATTTAGGTTCGATTTGCAGCCGGAGAATTGACCTACAGACCAGAAAAAAACCAAAACGGAACAAAAACGGCCAGTTATGGATTAATCGGTTTTCAATGCATTGTAGGTCAATGGAGCCTCGACCTACAGACTTTTCGACCTGCAGCCACCGTTCCAATACAGATTAATTCCATAAGTAGAGGGTCCACTGTAGTAATGATGACAATAGTATGGGTTAAACCTGTAGGCTTTTGGATAGGAACGTGGGTCGGACTCGAAGTCGTCAGGATCAAAGTATGCTGGATGGTCAAAGTAGCGCCACCTACTATAACATGCATAATCATGACCAGAGACTAATTGATGCCGAGGGCGCTCAGGCTCGCATGATGGCTCAAGGTGCCAGGATTTGTGTGTTCTCTTCCTAGGCACTTCGATCAGTACTGATCCTGGCGGCGAGATGGAGACATCCTCCAACTGAGCCCAGAGGAGTTCATGGGCTAGCCTCCGCCAATTATACTACCTCCGCAGAGCTGTTGCCCCAGTCAGGAGAGTAGCTGATACATGGGGATGGCTAGGCCTCTGACACCGGGGACAGACCATCTTCATCCCCCAATGGTAAGCTAAGGCATACCGATTGTTGCCAGGATGTATCAAGTGTCGAAAACGATTTATCTTCCAAGCAACCCAGTTTCAGAGCCTTCTTTTTCTTCTTCAGAGCAGATACCAAGGGAGGCTTCGGTGTTGATGCAGTAGCTGTCGATCTTGAGCCTGAGGAAGATGCCTGGGTCTTGGCTGCCATTTGAGAAGCCTTCTGGGCTTTAGGAGGTGGCAGCAAGCCTGAGACTGAGGGCTGCCAGTCCACCTGTGGTGGATCCATGGGAGCCTCTGGGGTTGGAGACAGAGACTTTTCCCAGAGAAATGAATGGAGGCGCTGAAGCCTCAACTTCAAAGCCAGTTTAGTGAAGTTTTTACAGACCCCACACAGGCCCTGACTTCAGCACCCTTCACACCCACAGTCTGGTTCTGATATGTGGATGACACCTTTGCAATTTGAAGCCAGGGTGAAGAAAAATTGGAAGAATTTCTGAACCATCTCAACAACATTCACCCAAATATACAATTCAACATGGAAAAAGGAATAGAGGGCCAACTCCCGTTGTGAGATGTCATGGTCGTTCACAAAACTGACCTTCTATTGGGACACAAGGTATACAGAAAGTCCACCCACACAAAAACTCCAACCACCACCCACAGCAAAAAAGAGGCATAATCAAAACACTGGTCGACCGTGCAAAGCAGAACTGTGAAGCTCAGTTTCTCAGCACCTAGCTCGACGATCTGATTTGGGCCCTAGAGGCAAATGGCTAGTCAGAAAATGAAATCACAAGAGCCATCAAACGAAGAAAACAACACCAAACTGAAGAAGAAAAACAGCCAACCACAAATAAAGTATTTCTTCCATACATCAAAGGGGTCACAGACTGCATGGGGAAACTTTTGAAAAAACACAACCTACCACAAAACACTACAAATGTTACAGTCAGCAAAGGACAGAAGGGACCCTCTCACCACTGCAGGAGTATACCGGATACCTTGCAGTTGTGGCCAGTTATATATTGGAAGCACAAAACGAAGCATCCACACCAGAATCAAAGAACATGAGAAACACTGCAGATTAAAACAACCAGAAAAATCGGCAGTAGCTGAACATGCCCTAAAACAAGCTGGACATGAAATTCTATTTCAAAATACTGAAATACTGGACAACACCAGCAATCATTACATTAGACTGCACAGGGAAGCCATTGAAAGCCACAAACACCAGCGGAGCTTCAACAAAAAAGAAGGAAGTTTAAAACTCAACAAAGCTTGGCTCCCAGCACTGAAAAATACAGCCTGCAAAAGGTCAACGAACCCTACTCAGCCACAAGGACCGGTGATCACTACACACAAAAGACCAGCTAACGACACCCATTAATCACAGTGACAGATAATCTCCCCTCCTTATCACAACAATACACCCACAACAAAAACACACTGATCACCATAATCACCCATCTCCTGAAAAGGACAAAAGCTGATCCCACAGCTATAAATACTCAACTCCCAAACAAATTGCACCAAAGCTTAGAGTGCTACTCCTGTCCTCTGAAGATGCCGGCCACAGAGACTGATGAAATGTTAGGAAGAACAACCTTCAGAACACAGCCAAAGAGCCTGAGAAACCCACAACAACCATTAGATCCCGGCCTTGAAAGCCTTCGCGAATTTGTAGTGAAGAAAGTTTATACAACAAATTAAATGGGAAGGGGAGAGGGAAATGAAGAAGAAATTGAATACTCAAGAAACGATTTCCAAATTGCCAGCACTCTGGTGGTGGAGAAAGAGAAACTGGGGGGTTAGGGCTGAGCGTGGTTATATATGCTGCCAGGAGGGTGGGCAAGGTTACCACGAAAAGACTATTAGCTTGGGAGGGTTCTCAACAGGATATGCACAGACACAGATAACCAATTTGTCTGATTCACAAAAGAGAAAGGGAAAGCAATCTGTGCTGGAATTAGATATCAGGGAGCAATGCCAGATGTGTCTGGACAGTCTGTACTAAGACAACCCAGTACATCCCAATACACCCAGTAACACCCTTTCCATGTGTGGATGCAAGTACTGGGCTTATCTCTTCTAATTCACAATTTTAAAAAGCCCAGAAAGACCCATCCTCATGGGCAATCACATGGGACCCCTGCATAACCCTTTTACCTTGTCCAAATAAATGATGAGTTTTCCACTTTCAGACACAACACGGTCAACTTCAAACTTGGAAATGTATCTGTCGACTTCCTCAGAAAGCTGAAGAAGTGAAAGGAAATGAAAAGTAAAGTTGTCTTTACATTTCATCTGCATTAAAGTTCAAAGCCACTTGGGAGGTACCTACTCAGGATATGCTTCAGATAGAAGTTTTATAATGTTAGATGCATTTGTCAGAGGAATTTTACACATCATGGTCTTCAACAAAATTCTTACTAAGCTTTGAGTAAAAGTTTACATTAAGACTGGTAATGAACCGGTCCGAGTGAAAGTCAAAATTAGAATTAGTTCTGAATGGTAAGACAACATTATATAAATCCCAGTGATTCAGTGAGTATACTCTAAATGAGACTAGCAACCGGCTTTAGGCCAATAGTTTAGCTTTAACCCATGAAATTTAATCTGTAAAATAAAAAATGAAATATAATGTCGGCAGCCATTTCTAGAATCCAGCATTACCTACCCTCTTAAGGTCATCATTATCAGGGGCAAAACCAGCAAGCATGGAAACATCAATGATTGTCATTGTGGCATCAACCTCACCAAGATACCTAAAATCAGAGACAAAGAGAAAAAGTGGGCCAAAACAATAGAACAGAAATGGATTCAGCTTTAGTTTTCTCAGTTTGGTTCCGCATGTTTTCAAAGCCATTCATCTTCAAAGGTGAAATATGAGATCTAGGATGTTATCAACAAATTGTATCATTACAACATTTGATCCTAATCCCCAGAGCAATTCTCTGTACACTTAAAAATATTTGTGGATCAGAGATGGGGCTTCGTTGCAACGAGATTGGTCAGGTTTCACAAGGCTCCTGAAACTGACTTAGACCACTCGGTTTCAACCCCTCCAAACTTGGGGGGGGGAAGGACTTTTACTAGCAGAAGTGAAAGTCTGAAGCAACAGAATCTGACTGAGAAGGGAGGTGGCCCAGGAGATTCCTGGATTGGCCTCTCTTTGAAGTCACAATCTGAAGGCAAAACTGAGTGGCCGCCATCTCTGGCACAGAGTTGTGAATGCCCCAAGACAGAGAGTGGAAAAGTACAGAAGGAATTTGGAAAAAATATTCTTGACCAAACTTGAAAAAAGTGGCTTGTTTTACATATGGAACTGCTAAGGACTTAATACAAAGAAGAGAGTGGATGTAATCTGTCAGAGAAAGGGACTAGATCTGCATCTGGCCAGAACACACCCACCCCCTTCATCTGAGGCTTGGCTGAGAGAAACAGAAAGAAAGGGGGAGGGAGAAAAAAAACCTTGCTTCTATTGCACCAATAAAACTTGCTCCTACAGGACAATATAAAACTATAAACTACTGATGGATTTAAATCTGTGAAGCAGCCAGAAACAGTCTTGAGAAAAGCCCTTTTGAACTGCTAGGTTGGCAGGAGCTGGGACAAGCGACGGGAGCTCACTCCGTCACATGGATTCAATCTTATGACTGCTGGTCTTCTGACCTCGCAGCACAGAGGCTTCTGTGGTTTAACCTGCAGTGCCACCACGTCCCTATAACCCAGGTTTATCTCTAAAACTGTCACAAAAACAGCAATCATGTTCACATCATAAATGCTAAGCATCAGTTAAAATCACAGTACAGTGATGCCCCGCTTGACGACGATAATCCGTTTCAGGAAAATCGCTGTTATAGAAATCGTCGTCAAGCAAAAAAACTCATTGGATAAATCGCTGTTATAGAAATCGTCGTCAAGCGAAAAAAACTCATTGGATTGCATTGAACACCGGTTAATGCATTCCAATGAGGAAAATACCTCATCGTCCATAGGGGAAGCCATTTTCTATCACTGTCTTGTGAAATTAGGTCCGGAAAACAGCAGGGAGCCATTTTGCGAACCGCCGATCAGCTGTTTTTAATCGTCTTGCGAACAATTGGTTCGCGAAACAGGGACCTAATCATCATAAAGCGAAAAAACCCATAGGAACCATTGTTTTGCGATCGCTATAGCGATTGCAAAATACTTGTCATCAACCGATTTCGTCCTCAAGCGGGGTCATCATCATAACTGTATAAGATGTTATGGGGGAACATATAAAGGAGCCTCCCTGAAGAATGGAACAGCATTGTGAGTACACCCAGATGTCCCATGGGCAACAGTGTGCAGATATTGCACTAGAACACCACCAAACCCAGGCACTTCATGGACGTTGAGCCCCTGGATAGAAACATTTTTACACACATCTCAAGTTCTGACCACTTCTGGTCAAAAATAGTCTGACTGTCTTGACATTTGAATTGGTTTTTAATGTTGGCTATATGTCATGGGTGAACTTGATTCTGAATTGTGGAATGCTTTGATACAAATAAGGGGGGAAATGTTATCAAAAGAATTATGATTTACCATTTGTGTGGAAAGCCAACAGCCAATTTGCTAAATGTTGACACCTGTCCTGGGTACAGCAATGCAAATCACCAGGACACATTTAAAAATTGATTTCTAACTAGAGGTACTCTTTTTGGCTAAGAATGGGACTGTTTGGAGTCTACCGAGGAAGGGTTGAAGGCTTATCATCCTGCACTTCATCCTTTCTACCTCATTTGGGTAATATAACATAGTTTTGAAAATCATCACTATTGACATTTCATGATGTTGTGTTTTGTAATAATATTACCCATTGGATGTAGTTGATTATTTGTTTCTAACTTCTCTAGTTTAATAATTCTTCAGACTAAATTTAAAATTATGTTTTGAATTGATACTTAGGATATCTGATCCCAACCCATTTTTACATTGGCCTTGATTCGCAGGATTTAGCCCTTTGTTCTACTTGCCTTATCATTAAAGCTCAACATTTTTACCTGGTGCAGATTTTGATTTTGACAGCCTGCAAGGCTCCCTTGAGCTGCTGCTGATCTAGAAGGTATAACACAAGAATTTTTTTAAAAAATCAGTTTTTGTACACATTCCATGCACTATAGCTGTTGCTACAATGGGGAAATGTGGGAAATATTATGGATTTTGGTGAGCTAATTCCCATTTATTTTCCACTGATCCCACTACACAAAGAGAAATGTGAAATCAGCCTGCAGGATTCATGTATGATCCACAACCTGTATGTATGTATGTATGTATGTATGTATGTATGTATGTATGTATGTATGTATGTATGTATGTATGTATGTATGTATGTATGTATGTATATATGTATGTATGTATGTATGTATGTATGTATGTATGTATGTATGTATGTATGTATGTATGTATGTATGTATGTATGTATGTATGTATGTATGTATGTATGTATGTATGTATGTACTGGATAGATGGATGGATGGATGGATGGATGGATGGATGGATGGATGGATGGATGGATGGATGGATGGATGGATGTGCCATTTTTCTCTCCAAAGAGATCCAGAATGGTATAAAATACAAAAACATATAACAGTAAAATATTCCATACAAATCAGTGGTTCCCAGACTTGGCTCCCAAGATTTCCTTGGACTAAAACTCCCAGAAGCCTTCACCACTAGCTATGCTGGCCAGGATTCCTGGGAGTGGTGCTTTTTTAATTTTTTAATTTATTGTCATTGTAAGTATATACACAGTACTGTATACCCATACAATGAAATTCACAGACATCTAGAGACCAGACACATGCACACACATAAAATTCCCCAAACACTCCCCACCCACCAAAAGAAATCCCCCAACACTCCCCACCCACTAAAAGTCCCCCACTAAAAATACAAACATCTACACCTTAGGCCAAGTAACACAGTCCAACTAACTATTCACTACTGGTGGTCTTTAAGCTCA